GATCCGGCCGGTTCCGACATATGTACTGCCTGTAACAGAAATACGGAGCTATGCCAAGTTTCAAGACGACATCTTCAAAACATCGAGACTAGTTCGCAAAGAAACAGGGAGATTGACAAACGGACGGACGGACGGAAGCACAGACGGACTGACGGATGGAGGGACGGGCAGATGGACTCTGGCTATATAAATTTGGCTGTTGATGCTGATCTAGAATATATATATATACTTTATGGGATCGGGGATGGATGCGTTAGACATTTCATGACAAAATTATAAAACCCTCTACAAGGCTTTAAAAAGGTCTATAAAACTTATTTATAATACATAAATTATATCAGAAGAGAAACGGTCTGTCACATATTTTAAAAGTTTGAATAAAGTCAAAAAAGCTCTTAAAATAAATTTGCTCGTTGCACGGAAAATATTTCAAATCGTTAATATTTTCATATACAAATTCCAGGCTATTCGAGCTCTAGCCAAAATTGGCATCTGTTAAATATGGATGGATAAATAGAATGGTTAGCGCCAAAGTTGTTTGTAATTTTGCAAAAGAATTTGTATTTTTAACTAAATTATTTTTGACTTTTTAAATAAGTTTGTTTATGATTTGGCTGATTTGGTTAAAGTTAAGCTTTACTGTTGAATTGAATTGGAATTGTAATTCCGGATTGGACTCTGTGCATAATCTTCTTTTACCACTAGAAAATGGGTAATACAAATTTGTAGACCAAAAGAATTTCAGCTATTTTATGAATTGGAAAAGACAATACAAATTTATAGCAGGTTTAACTTCCGGGTGAATCTTGCAGAGAGCGAGAGATAGAGGGAGAGAGGGAGAGAGAGAGAGAGAGAAAGTCTGCTCGTAGGTGCATTGAGGCATTTAGCTGCAGTTCTTAAGTCCACACATTTGCCCCAACTCCTAACTCCTCTGTCTTTCTCCGTGCTCGTTGGTCATGTCAAGTGGGTGAGGCAGCAGCAGCAGCAGAAGCAGAAGCATCATCATGCTCATCATTGACGCTGCATCTCAAGTGCAGCAGGCACATCAACATCAGCTCGACGAGACTATCGGAAAATCACGTAATGGGCACGTATTCCAAATATTTACTTAAGACCAAGCGGGCAACGCAGCGTGAAGGCAGGCAGAGATGGGGCAAGGTGTGGATAAGGTTGCGGGTGAGTGCGTGGCCAGGGGCAGGGGCAAGAGCGGGCTGCATTAATATTGTTGTGGCAAACCAATTGACTTGACAAGCGACGATGAGAAGCAGGAGCAGGAGCAGCAGCGGGAACGGGAGCGGGAGCTGGCGCGGGCGTAGGCAATGGGGCGACAACTTCCTGCAGCAGTTCTTTGACTTAATTGCCGCAGCGACTGCGACTGCGACGGCAACTGCAACAGCAACTGCAACGGCAGCGACTGTAAACAGTAGTCGAGGCGGCAATAAGCAAACTGACATTGACTTTGACTTTCGGCAGACTCACACAGCGACTGCAGGAACTGCGAACTGCGGTCTCAGTTTGGCCGCCTGTCGATATTCGTTTGATTTTATTGTGGCATGCACCCCGCGGAGTTGTTGTTGTTGCCGCAAGTGGATGCAAGGGATCATACAGACAGCAGCATCACAGGGACCGATACCAGTTGCAGTGGCAGTCGCAGTAGACAAACAGCCAAACCCCATGACTAATCACGCATTACGACTTGGGCATATTTGCCTACACTCAAAGAAATTTATGCCTTGAAGTGCATCATGAGAAAGGGATTAAGGGAGTGTGATATGGCTGTTCTCCCAGAAGGTACGCTCTACCCAGCTTCGAATTGCCGCAACATACTTGCGCGTTTACCAACACTCGGATCGCAAACTGAGCGCCTTCTTTTTCCCTAGGCTCCATACTATGTCAAATTTATTCCTTGATAAAGCTGATATAGATATATCATATTTATATCTTAAGAAAATATGCATATATATATATATAAATATATTATAAGAAAAATATTTTATCTATCAGAGATCTCAGCTATATGAGAGTTGAGAGAGAGAGAGAGAGAGAGAGAGAGAGAGAGAGAGAGATAGAGAGAGAGAGAGAGAGAGAGAGAGCGAGAGAGAGAGAGAGGGAGTGAGAGAGAGAGAGAGAGAGAACTGTATAAGACGAGTTATAGGCCAAGTTTTAAAAGCCTATTCAAAGACATATATTCAAAAGGATATTGCCTATATTCTATATCATACTCTTCTCTGTGGGCATAGAGTGTATATAGAAATAAAGAATTTTTCAAAACTCAATCGAATTTCTTCTACATTTATTTCACATTTGGTTAACTCAGCGCAAGCACAATTGGTTTTGGTTTTGCCGCTTGAGAATCGCATAGAAAGGTCGCCTTGGAATTAGTTTGAGCTGGTTGCACACAAAATTTACAGTTAGCTGCGCTCTTTGATTTGGCAAACGGCTGCAAGTGCCAATGCCAAACGGCCAAACAGCCAAACCGCCACGCCCCCCAAAAGAGAATTTCACTTAAGTCAGCTGCAGCTGCAGCCTTGGCTCTGACTGCGAGCAACGCAAGCATTATCATCCGTCAAGTGCGGGCACTTTGCTTGGCAGCGGCCTGCCACGCCCAGTGTGAGGCGCCCGCAGCTGGCGTTGCAAGTGCAACTGCCACAGCATCTAGCGGCACCATCAGCGCGGTGCGCTACGCGTAGCTGGCGTCATGATTAGACGTTGCAACTGCTCCCGTTGCAAGTTGCAAGCATTTATTTTGCTGTGGCTGCCCCGCAGCTGCTGCAGTTGGTGGAACAGCTGATAAAGTCGCTCGGCTCGCAGGTGAAACTGAAAGTTAAAGCTGCGCACGGCCCGCCCCGGCTTGAAGCTGGAATCGGATCCAAGTTGGGGCGCAACTTGGCGCACGTAAATAAATGAAATTAAAATTCCGTTACGAACCCGGCTCAAAAGTCACAGCCACGGGTCAAATACGCTTCATAGTTGGCCAGCTTGGACGCTGATGGGGCCTGACAGGAGCAAAGAGACCGAAGAGTTTACCGCTAACCGCTTTGCCATACAAGGCCTATACAACACCCAGGCCAACCCCCCTGGGCGCACACATGAGTCGCAGCTCTCATACATAAATATTTATAAACAAAGCGAGCTCCGGCTACAAATCCGTTATAAATAAAACATAACGAGTCGAATTGTTGGGAACCACTCGAAAAGCAACTGAAAACCGAGAAATAAGCGCAGACGACGCACAAAATGTCAAAAACAATAAATCAAAAGGCGACCGAAAAAGGCGGTCAGGAGCCGGGACAAGTGGCTAGGGGGGAGCAAGGAGCTGGGTGTGCGAAGGGGGGCTTCGGCAAACCGTTGGACAGTCTCGCGGCCAAACGGAAGCAAAGCGACGGCCGTCGCAGCTTGGGCACGTTCCCAGGCTGCCCGAAAGGTAACAAGCGATAAATAAATGCGTGCGGAGAAGTGAAGGGGACAGAGAGAGAGTGAGTGGGTGAGGGGGAGGGGGGGGGGGCATTTAGGGACTGCGTAATGCGGCCTTACAAATTGCAGATGACACCACAGTGACAAAGAGAGCAAAAAAAAAAAAGAAAACAAAAGAAAAGAAAAGTAAAGAAAAGGCTGATAGTGCGAGTGGGTCAGGGGTGCGGCGGTGGCTGGCAGCGTGTCCGAGTGGAGCATGCCTTTTGGCGCGCTGACGGCATTAACTGCCAATGAGAGGCTGCTGCTGCGCAGGCGTCCCGGCGTCGCGGCGACGCTGCGTCTGCGTCGACGTCTGACGCAGCATATTTGTCGGCGTTTTGCATTCTGAATGAAATAAATTGAATTGAATTCATGACAGCGGAAGTTTTGAAAGCGCAGCGCGAATTGAGGTTAAGGCGAAGACGCGCGCTTATATGGACTGACAATACACACACACACATGCATATATCAGCAAACGATTTCACATTTCCTGTGCCACAGTCACAGTCAACTAATTTAAATTGTCTCGGCTTGAAGTTTGGGCAGCTTGCCAAAAAAATAAAAACAGCGACAAATTAAACACATCAAATGAAATGTTTGCAACAAATACCAGTGGCAACATGTGCCTGAGCAACAAATGTTGCTAAGAAGCAGCATCCACAAAACCTACATCCACATTGCGCACAGTGGTAGGACAGGCCCAAAACCACGACATATTTTTTGCAAAGGTTACAGTTTACAAAAATTGTATTACCATATGTGAGTGTATGTATGATTGTTGTATTTTATAAATTTCGTGTATATATACACAATTCGCTCAGTTTTTTAAATCTAGATGAGCATTGCTTGGTAGAAAAAAATAAGACATTATTATCTATGAACGTAAAGAGTATGTTATATATATAATAAAAGATAAAGCATATGTAAAGCAAATGTCACATGGCCTTTCATTGAAATGTACACACTTGTTGCCCACAGTGCAGCGCATTGAAGCGATGCCAACAGCAACGCCACACAGTGCAGAAAACTAAGCAAGAGACAGGGCGTGTGAGAGAGAAAGAGAGAGAGAGCGGGCGTGAGGGCGACAATGAGAGCGTGTGTTGCGGCCCACAAGCAACGGACGACAACGGCAGCGACAGCAACAGCAGCCGGCAAGCGACCGGCCCGAGATGCTGCGGCCGTTCAGTAACTGACAAACGTTTGCCAGGTGAACAACGAAGCCGACGCAAAGCGAACAGTGAACAGCGAACGAGCAAAGCGTGTTTTTGTGTGTGTGTATTTGTTGTTGTCGTTGCTTGTGCTCGTGCTTGGCGCACAGCCCACGCGCGTATGTGTGTCGTATAAATTTTGTTAGCATTTTTTTTTTTTTGGTGTGTTGGTGTTGTAGCAACATTTGCGGCCAGCAGCCGCAGCAGCATCCGCAACATGCAGTGGTGAATTGGCCGAGACCAAGAAACGAAACGAAACGAAGCGAAGCGAAGCGTAGAGCAGAAGCGAATCGAAGCGCAAAGAAACTCAACACAACAGCAACAAATCATTTGGCTTGTTGTCGCCTCGCCTGCAGGATACGCGACGAGGACGTGAACAAAACAGAACTACGCTGGCCGTTGACCGAGTTGCATCGCAAATCGCATCGCGGTCTCTTAGCCCACAGCAAGCGCCAGAACAAGTGGCAGTTACAGCCAGCGATAGTGTGTGTGTGTGTGCGACAGAGAGAAAGAAAATAGAAGAATCAGCAGCAGACTGTGAAACAGAAACCGAAATTGAAATCGGCAATCGGAGCGGCAGCTGTTGCATGCGGCCGCCGTGCCAGACTCAGTGACGCCGCCGCTCAGCGTCCAGCGTGCCGCGTGTTGCGTGCTGCGTGTTGCGAGTTTTTGTTGTTTTTGTTTTGTGCTTGCTTCGTACGCGCATTGATCCTCGCGAGTGACAGAGACACATATACAAAAGCATAAAAGAGAGTGAGTGAATAGAGAGACGAGTGAGGCGACATTGCGGTATTCAAATCGCAATTGGCCTAGGAATCAACTCGAGGATGAGGCTGCCGCTGCCGCTGCTGTTGCAGTTGCAACTGGGCGCGCTGCTTGCCGCATGCTTGGCCAACGCAGCCGCCGGCATCAATATCAATGCCAACGATCCGTGCTATTTTGAGGGGAAGCCGCGCAAGTGCCTGCCCAGCTTTGTGAATGCCGCCTACGGCAATCCGGTGCAGGCGTCCAGCGTCTGCGGCGTCCAGCAGCCGGAGCGCTTTTGTGAGCTGCAGCGCGATGGCAGCGCCGGCGAGTGTCGGCTCTGCGATAAGTCGGAGCATGGGATAAGTCGTTATGGTGCCGCTGCGTTGACGGATCTCAACAATCCGAGCAATGTGACCTGCTGGCGTTCCGGCAGCGTGAATGTGCCCCACGATCCAGACACAGCGCCGCCGGACAATGTCACCCTAACCCTGTCGCTGGGCAAGAAATACGAGCTGACCTACATCTCGCTCTCGTTCTGCCCCAAATCACCGCGGCCGGACTCGCTGGCCATCTACAAGAGCTCGGACTTTGGCCAAACCTGGCAGCCCTTCCAGTTCTACAGTTCGCAGTGCCAGAAGTTTTACGGACGTGCCGACCGCGCAAAGATCAGTAAATTTAATGAGCAGGAGGCACGTTGCATGAACTCGCAGCACGATGGGGCAACCGGCGGCGCCGCACAGCGTTTCGCCTTCAACACGCTCGAGGGTCGTCCGTCGGCAAATGATCTGGACGCGTCGCTGGTGCTGCAGGATTGGGTGACGGCAACCGATATACGTGTGGTATTCCATCGTCTGGAGCTGCCGCCGCAGCTGCTGCTCAGTCGAGCCAAGGCCAAGGGCAATGCGAACAGCTTCAGCGATGAGATGACCGCCAGCCAGGAGGAGGAGGAGCTGGATGGACATGAGCTGGATGACCAGGATGAGTACGATTACAATTTGCAGGACAACGACAGCGCCGGCTACGACCAGGAGGAGTACGAGGAGCCCAAAAAGCATCTCGAGCTCGATGACGAACTGCATCTAGACTATGCCAACGATGGCGAGAGCAAGCGCCAGTCCAAGCACAAGAGCAGCGCCTACGAGAAGCATTTCCAAAGCAAGCTCACGGTCAGCACCCCACCCGCACCGCCGCTTCCGCCAGTCACGCCCAAAACAACGCCGCCCAGCAAATCGGGCACATCCTCGGACAATTCCGGAGCGTCCGTCGCCATGCAGCAACTGCTTTCCGTCTCGCAGCATTATGCCGTCTCCGATTTCGCTGTCGGCGGACGCTGCAAGTGCAATGGCCACGCCTCCGAGTGCATTGCAACCAGCCCCGGCCCCGGCTCAGTGCATGCCGACGCGGACGATGGCCAGGACGACGATATGCCCGCCTCGCTGCACAGCGTCCACTTTGGACGCACCACCTCCGCCCTGCAGCTAAGCGCCAAGCTGGCCATGACCTGCGCCTGCAAGCATAACACCGCCGGACCCGAGTGCGAGCGCTGCAAACCCTTCTACTTCGATCGCCCCTGGGGACGTGCCACCGACAACGATGCCAATGAATGCAAAAGTGAGTACATAGAAAATGCCATCCCCTGTGCCCCATAAAAAAATGCCATTGGCCCCAATATGCGACGAGGACTGCCAATAAAATGCCACTGCAATTGGCTTATCCATAAAAAAATATATATATATCTATATCTTATATTCACATATATATTTCTGCATTAGAATATATAGACATTTGTTTTATAGCCCTCTTCAGTGTATTATCCCGCCTTAACTTGCATATAAATAAGCTTAGTTTTCTTCAAATTAACTACATAAGACAATTTTTGCACTCAATCAAAAAACTGTTTTCCACATTTGAGAAAGTTTTCACTAATTAAATAGTGAATTTCAGAAAACCTGTGAATATATTAAGTTTTAGGTAGAGCTGAGCAATTGAATGTCAAATCGATTGGGCGAAATCTTAAGCTAGGTTTACTAGCTATACTACTTTTACACGCCTTTTCCACGAGCAGGCGTGAAAGTGTGAATCACGTGTGAAATTTATTTCGATAGAAATTCTTGCCAATGAGCCCGAACCCGACCTACAAATACGATCGAGGGGAGCTGAATTATCCGAAATAGTGAAAAACATCTTAGCTTAATTGTAACAAAGAATTTTGAAGCTGACTTTTAAGCAAATCGGTTGGTAAGCACAAAAGTTGCATACAGCTGAATTTCGTTATTTTTCCACGCTTGCGGGTGGAATCGAGTATTTGAAATAAGTATTTTAAAGGGTGCGCATTTTAATTAGCTATTGTGTAATTGCTTGTGCTCAAGTTGAACTTAATTTGGAAAAAGTGCGGCAACTTGTTGAGTAGCCCTCGTCAAGCCTCAGAATTCCTCATAGCTGGCATTCACTGTCGTTGGGTCCGTCGGACAGTTGTTCGCCCTGTTGTTCGGCCCCGTCGAGTGGCGCTTTCAATTGCCACCATTGTGCGGCTTGCACTTCTCCTGAAGCGCATTGAACTCGAATTGAATGCATTCTGCCAGGCAGCGGAGCATTCGGTTGCCAATGGCCATGGCCAATGCCAGTGCCAGTGCCAGTGTCAGTGCCAGTGGACGACGCCGACGTCATCGGCATTCTTCGCCTTGCATTTTTGGTGCTTAATTCAACACTTGGATGGAGCATTTGAATGCCTCGACGTGTGGCATGCGGCGTGCGGCATGCGGCGTGCGGCGTCTGGCAGGACCAGCTGCAGAACCAATCCAATCGATTCCAATCGAATCGTGTCGCACCAATGTGCCGCGATCTACCCCCGTCGCCCCCTGGCATATTTGTTGTCAAAGTCAGCGGGTCATTTATGCCATCATCATCATCATCATCAGCGTCATCCGAGTGTGTCCGCATTTGTACAAACCAATTATTTGTGTTCTTTGCTGTTGGCTCAGCATTGTCCGCACCTTGCAGACGCACGCAGACGCAATCCGCCCCCACTCCACTCTACTCCACTCCCCTCCATGTCCATGTCTATGTCCATGTCCATTGCTATTTGGCTGTCTCGCCTCCACAGAGAGCCATAAATTACTAACGATTAACTTTTTGTGGGCCAGCGTCTAGAATTAATCAAAGAAACAAATGCGCAGCGGGGCGACATCAAGTTAGGGCGTCGCTTCTGTCACGACGTTGCGGGTCAACCCCATAACGGTAACATGGCCTGCAGTCGAAGGTCAGCGTCAGCTCTGGCGACTGTGCTAATTTATGGCTTATAGACCAAATCTCCTGGGCAATTGGCATTTGGGAAATGAACCACAAGCCAGCAGCTGTGCGTGGGCCATAGACTAATCTGTGGAGAGAAATATGCCCGAACTGCGACCGGCTGCATTCCGGGTGACAATATGTTTGTCCGTCCAAACGTACGTCGGGAACTCTAAAAGCTAAAGACTTGACTTTTTGTATGCAGCTCTTGCTATGGCACGTGCATCTCAAGTTTCTTTCAAGTCTACAAAAGCTTGTCGCGTTTCCAGGAAATCGATAGGAATCGGTATCGAAATGATGTTCTTTGAGCAAATCTTGGCGCTTTTAAGAGCCAGAGTTGCGAGATGTAGATGCTCGTATGGTATGCACATATCCAAGGTATTCTTTTCTCTCCCTCCCTTATTTTCTGGAAACTGCGAAGACCTTTACTAAAGTGTAGGATTTGTTTTTATTTTTATTTTATATCGATTTAAAACTGGATTTGCGAACTTTCTTTCCTCCTCTTAATTTTTTTTTATCCATATCTCATGAATATTTAATTTAGTGAAAGAATCCTTTCTATCCCCTTCAGACTAAAAGTTTTTATTTTTCCATTTCGGAAATGCAATTATTATTGTTAATAAAAATTGTTGTTCTTCTTCTCTCTCAAAAGTTGAGTTTTATATTCGATATTCAGTATTTCACGTACTTTGCCAACAATTATCCACACACATTCATAGTACCTGAAGTTTTCAAACGTTTCATTTAACTGCAGCTCCGAATTACTTTGATTAGCATTGAATTCTGTCTGGCCCTATCCAACACTTTACTAAAGAGGGAACAGCAAATTGATTTAACGCACAAGTCGCTGCGATTCAGCGCTGAGATTAAAGGCTTTAATTTGAATTAGTTTTGTTTTTTTTTTCTGTTTATTTGGGCGGGGCAGCCACTCGCTCAGCGAGTCCACATCCGTGTCCGTTCTTTCATTTCCCAACAAGAAAGCTACAAAAAAATAAACGGAAACAAACAAACTCGAAGCGCTGGCAAAGGCAAGTGATAAAAATATTTATGTCGAGCGAAATTCCAAGCGACGTCTGCCCGGCTGGGTCGCGGCCATCCATTATTTGGAGTCCCGGCACCGTGCCCACGCCCCGGCACGGACTGACCAGCTGCCTGCGGAAGGTTTTGCCAAAGATTTACGCGAGCCAAGCAGAGTAAATATTGAAAGAGGAATCGGCTAGCCGCGGCACGATGCTCTTGCTACCTGAAATCGAGCGGAGGCCTACCCCAAAAATGCCCAAACCCTGGCCGAAGTTTATGGCCAAAGCTAAACCCAAGTGCCCAACTGCGACGCGACCCGCTTCCAACTCATTGAGTCGCACATTAATATTTAGATTTGCTTTATTCGCCAGCAATTTGTTTCGAGTTCGTTATGGAAACGGTGACCCAACCACTAGCACTGCACGCTCGCGCACAGTGGGACAAAATGGCAGGAAACCAAAGGCAAAATAAAAGTTACTTATTTAAATAATTTTCTAGCTGAGGTGCAGCCCGTAAATGTAACACAATATTGGGCACAATATATAAAAGAATATGCATTATAATTTTCGTTTCAATTGACGCACAGTGAAACAAAAGCAGAGTAAGTGAATACATAAGGGGGTAAAATGAATGCACAAATTATTTTACGGCGTTATAATTGAATGAACATGATAACGAATAATTCGTGTCTCTAAATCAGTTGCTTTAAGCAGTTGCACAGTGAGGCAACTCTTGAAAACTAAAACAAGAAAGAGGTTCCCGACTAGGGGATACCCTGAACCCTCTTCTTCCAACATCAAATGCATTTATATATTCTATTTTAGAAGCTATATGTCTAGTTTGGTGACTCTAGCTCTTATTATTTACCAAAATTGCCCAAAAAGGAGGATATCGATATCGATTTTTATCGATTGCTTGGAAACGGAGTAAGTTATCGATGATCGGAAACAATTTCGATCTGCGCGGGCACTAGGAGCACCTACATCTAAAATTTCAAGCCTCTAGCTCTTATAGGTTCTGAATTCCTTGCGTTCATACATGCGGACAGACGGACGGACAGACAGACAGACGGACATGGTTAGATCGACTCGGCTATTGGTGCTGGTCAAGAATATATATACTTTATGGGGTCGGAGATGCTTCCTTCTGCCTGTTACATACATTTGGATTTTGCACAAATACAATATACCCTTATACCCATTTTTAATGGGTTCAGGGTATAAAAAATCAATAATATATTTTTATAATATTTTACTACTGGAAATAATGCCCCAAATCAAAATAGACGATAAAGTGTTATAAGAGTGTATAAGAAATAATATTAAAATCAAGTAAATTTTCCAGTTTGCGCGTTGAGATTCGGAACTAGTTCAAGCTGCGAACGATTGTTAAAAAAGTCTGCTGACAACAGAGCCGAGTTGTTTGTTAAAGAGCTATATAAATAGGCTGCTTACCTGTTTGGTCTTGACTTGGCCAGGTCTTGCGCCAGCCAGCTTGTAATTATTGGAAACTAAGCTAATATAATAAAATATAAGTCATGCTTCTCACCTGTAAGCAAATATAATATTTCAATAACCTGATAAAATCTGAATTTAATCAAGAAACTCACCTGTTTTTGGCCAGAGATGAATCAATTGTGGTCCACTGCTTGGTGGAAGTTTGTGGGTTCTATTTGTGTGTGTTTTGTTGGAATCGGTGTTTTTGGTCGCGGCTCTTCTTTTGGTCTCCGGGGATCCGAGTGAAGCGCATCTAATGCGCGCCATCTGTTTAATTTTCAGAGTTTTCCGAGTTTTTGGGCAGCGGCTGCAATCGAAATGGAAATGCGAAACGCGAATTGGGAAATGGGAAATGGTGGCCGAGCACAGGCCAAGGGTATTGTTTGTTGCGCCCCCATTCAGAATTTTATTTCTTTATTACACTTATGTGTGTGTTTGTGCGATTTCGGGGGTGGTTGAGGCGGTTTACGGCTTGAACTAATTCGCGGCGTTTACATTGCAATCTCGTGCCGTACCCCGGCTAATCCCGACAGCTGTGCGCATTTAGCATGGCCACAAAAGCCAGGACAATAGCCAGGACAACGCTCAGCTCGGTTCGAATCGGATAGTTCCCGGCTTCGTTTGGTTTGGTTTTTCCTTTGGCTGACTTGCAACAAATTGCGCGAGTTAACAGCGGCCATTGCTCAGTAACAGCTACAGCTATCAGCTGGCAGTTAAGTTGTTGCACATATGCAACAAGAATCATTGCGGCTCATATGTCTGGGCCAGGCTAGAGCGAGGGGCAGGCAGCGGGCGTGTGGCGTCACA